TCCGTCTTTTTTTTTCCCGTCGCCCTTACCTCCCGCTGCCCGTGTTGCTGCCGCTGGTCTCCTCCGCGTCCTTTTCTTCCTCCTCATCCCGCTATCATCTGCTCTTTTTTTTTCCAACGTTTCCTCTTTTTGCCCGCCGTCCTTCCCCTTTGCTTCTCCTCCGCCATCGTACGCCCGGTAATGTTAGCTGCATATATAGCGTAGATAGTGGAGATCGAGGGCGAGCAAAGTCGTGCAGTAGCGTAGAGTAGCGTTGTAGAGAGTCAAAGTTGAGTGCAGCCAGAATATATATATACATAGAGAGAGAGAGAGAGAGCGTTGATAGTCGAGGTCGAGCGCGAGCGAAGTCGTGCAGTAGCATAGTATAGCACAATAGAGAGTCGAAATCGAGTGCAGCCAGCGTCGATCAATCGATCAATCGAGAGAGAGAGAGAGAGAGAGAGAGAGAGAGAGAGAGAGAGCATATATAGTCGAGGTCGAGCGCGAGCGAAGTCATGCAGTAGCATAGAGTTGCGCCGTAGAGACTCGAAGTCGAGTGCAGCCGCTGTCAATTGATCGATCGATCACAGAGAGAGAGAGAGAGAGAGAGTCGAAGAGAGTCAACGTCGAGCGCAGTAGCGTAGAGTAGCGTCGTAGAGAGTCGAAGTCGAGTGCAGTCAGCGTAGAGTAGCGCCATAGAGACTGGAAGTCGAGTGCAGCCGACATCGATCGATGGATCACAGAGAGAGAGAGAAAGAGTCAACTCGAGCGCAGTAGCATCATAGAGAGTTGAAATCGAGTGCAGCCAGCGTAGATTCTAAGTCCAGCGCAGTAGCGTAGAGTAGTGTAAGTCGAGTCACAGTAGCGTAGAACTCGTGCATAGGCAGCCGTCAGCCAAATTAGCTCTTTGGCCGCCTCCCCCAACAAAGTTTGTTACGGGGGCCTGCGGTGTGCGAATTTGTGGCCGCCTCCCTTAGAAAACGTAGTTACAAACCCTAGGGCATCCGGCCAATCGCGGCGCTGCCGGGCCTGGGGAGTTGGAACTTGTGCTGGGCCGGTAGGCCCTGGCCTCGTAGTACTGTGCGCGCCACTACCGGGTCAGGGCCTACCGGCCCAGCTACAGGCCCAGCAATCGTCTCGACGGTCCAGACGGCGAGTTGATGACATTGAAAACGATCAGCAGCCAATCTGGACCATCGTGCGCCACGGAAACGAAGGCCCCAGATCAGCTGCTGGTCAAATGATGTGCCGGGAACCGCGATGCTCAATATCAGGAGGACACAAGCTGTTGGTATCCAGCGGGATTTGAACCCGAGACCAGAAGGCACAGCATTTGATCAACTCAAGACGATCAACTCAGATCAGCTGCTGGTTCACAGGGGGTGTTGAACAGGTTCACAGAGCTACAGGCCCAGCGATTGTCTCGACCAGCTGCTGGTCAACTGCTGTGCCTGGAACCGCGATGCTCAATATCAGGAGGACACAAGCTGTTGGTATCCAGCAGGATTTGAACCCGAGACCTGGCCCAAGTACAAGGTAAGAATAGGCTGCGTTTTTGTTTTCGCTATTTTTCATGTTTGCTGCTGGCCGGATTGAACCAGAGAAACCATTCGCTGTACACCATTCGCTGCTAAACGCACGCGCGCGCACACACACACACACACACACACACACACACACACACACACACGCACACGCACACACACACACACGCACACGCACGCACGCACACGCACACACACACACACACACACACATCCTGAATCCTCCTCTTCACTGACGTGATGAAATTGCTTATTGTCATACAGTTCTGATTGTTGTTCAGTTTTGCAGTCTAATGCCGGAGTCTCACTTTGCATTAGTTATGTCGACCTCATTCATTGCCTGTAATATCTCAACCTTCGACTGCTGCATCCATTTTAGTTTGTGCTACGGTGTTATCTGCCCGGCCCTGTGACACGTCAAACAGAGGTCTCCGTGCCTATCCCAATAGCAGGCCTAATATGAAAAAAGCTGGCAGACCTCTCCGTTATCGCAGTACAATTCAGATTCTGCCCCAAGCACAACATCTGAGACGAGCATCAGATAAACATGGCAGACCCCATGGCAGACCCAACGAGGGACTCGATTAATGTAGGGGGCGCCCCTCAGCCATTGGGCACCTTAAAGTGTCCAAATTCTGCCATAGGGACAACAACGCGAAACCGGAATAGCAGACACGATGGAACCCATGGACGGTTGCGAACTCAGTGCAGGAGCAAGTGGCTATCCTAAGAAAAAGGGGGCATGCAAACGGGAAAAAGAAAAAAGGACTGAGGGGGGAGAGGGGGCTGGGGAGGTGGGTGGGAAGACCAGAGTAGCCATATAGAACTCTGAGATCTGAGAACTTACCAAGATATGACAAAAATGCAAACCACTGTATGCCTTGCACATTCGATGGGATATCATTTGCAATGTCGTGATGTACGATAGGAAAGCAAGCTGGCCAATTCTTGTCATTATTCCCTGTAATGCCAATCAGACACAGTCAGATCACATAGAACACGACATGAGAAGAAAGAGGGCAACAGACGGAAAGACGGATATCATCATGGGTTGACGTGCAGTACTAACCCATTCACGCAACTAGAAACACAGAGGCACGAGTCAATAAAGAGACCAAACCAGAGACAGAGAGACACAGATGGCAGTGATTGACAGAGATCACAGTTGCATTCCTGCTAGGATCCACAACCAAAAAGCTCCTCGCTACTGCAAGCAAATAAGCAATAAGGACGGCAATAAACCAGAGTGCGACATCTCACAGAAAACCAAACATAATTGAGTGAAACCAGAAATCAAAGTGAAATGCACACCAAATAGGAACGAGAAATACACCGAAGTCTCTCAATAAAGAGAGCCCTTCCACTGCTCCAATCATCAATACAACAACAGCTTAGTCTTCCTACCGCCGTTCTGAATGCCCATCCTACGCCCGTAGCTCCTATGAGTCTAGCCCATCTACATGCCAGCAAATTGTCCACGTGCCAATCGCCTCCCACGAGTCCAGCCTATCGACATGCCAACAAACTGCCCACGTGTCAATCTCCAATGCCACGTCAGGAAACTGGTCACACAGACTATCTACATGCCTCCCTCACATCACTATGACCGTAACTCTGAATGCAGCCAGTCTCGATCATTGAAGCTTATGGGCGTCGCTGCACGGCACACGAAACCAAAAACAAAACAAGGGCACTTTCCCACAGAAAATAGGCACGTTCATCGGTGTTGCTATAAATAGTAATGAGTGTATTTTGTGACTTTCATGGGTAGATGCACTCGTTTCGTTTTTGTTTCGTGTACCACGTGGCGAGGCCCTATGACCTTGAAGTTCGCAAAAACAGCAATCAAGTCCAGTCAACCCGACCATGCCAACATCGAAAGTCAAGTGTCGACAAAAAAAAGCAAACGTATCATGATTGCGAAGAACCCTAACTCTATCACGACCTTGAAAGAAACACTTCACGGTTATATAAATCATGAATGGATTGTAGGTTTTCAAAATTCAAACCAATTGGAAGCAAATTTTTCCATATACTAGGGAATTTTCAACACTTTAAAAACTTATCATTTCCTGATCCATCTTCTCGGCAGCGTTGATTACTGGCTCCCAATTTGAACAATCTAGCACGCAATCTGGGATGGGAGGTTGTTGCTCGAGTGTTTGGACACAATGGACAAAAATGACCTTCAAACAAGAACATACAAAAAGCAGTCCAAGTTGCCATACCGGCAAAACACTGCAAAGCTAACAAACAGGAACCTGGTCACACAGCCTATCTACATGCCTCTTGTGAGAACTTAACAGCAAAAGCAGACACCCAATTTCAGGGAATGTGGGTAAACTTCACAGGGCAAGAGGTCACAGCAACGGAGAGCACAGGCATCCAGTCTTCAGTAGTCGGACAGAACTGCCCGGTAAACCATAGGCAGCGAGAGATAAAAGGGCAACAATCGAGGGGCTGTGACAACCCGTTTCGTAGGAGTTTCGCCGACTCAGTCAGGAGGGTGAACCCTCTACAGTCTGCAGACTCCCCTGACCCATGATACTGCAAGTGATAATCCACCTTCACCCCGGTTGCAGTTAAGCATCAACAACTGACCGACAACTGATATCCCGAGGTGGACACCAACGAAGACCTCAGCTTTAGCCATTTTTCTTGCAGAGGAACAGGCCAGTGGATGCCGCAAACCTATTGGCCTACCAACCTACATGCCGAGGGTTTTGAACCTCGGCACGTAGCTTGGTAGGCCAATAGGTTTGCGGCATACACTGGCCTGAGGGTAGAGGCCCGCAAGGTACCTGTGGCCTGTAAACCCTCAGTTTTAGCCATATTTCTTGCAGTGGAACAGCTGGTGGGTTTTCAACCTCGGTATGTAGCTTGGTGGCCCAAATAGCTTCTAGGCATCCACTATCCTGTGGGTAGAGGTGCAGAGAGGCTGAACACCATGTTTCCGGCCAAAATAGCTGGGTTTTGAACCCCGCTCTGCAGCTTGGTAGGCCAGTAGGTTTTAGGCATCGACCAGGCCGTAGTAGTGGAGTAAAGAGGCATACGCATGTACCCCTCAGACATGCAGCTGGGGTGCATCTGAGGTTTTCCTATTCATAACTCCTTGAGATTACAAGCCTACTGCCTACCTGGTGGCTGAGCGGTACACGCGCCTGAAATATTAATGCACAGGTCAAGAGCTCAAATGCTGTCGAATCAAATCAAATGTCATACGCTGTGGCTATCCCCAAAAGAGGGAGCCCATTCGAATAATCGTATTCAAGCCCAAAATAATTCTCACGTCTTGTACTCTCATCTTATATTTGGCAAAGACATGCACTCAACTCCTCCCTATTCGACAGGTGCGCAATGATGTTGACTTCGGCCAAAGCAGTTGACCATGACCGACCATGGCATCATGTTTCAGACGGAGTTTTACTTTATTCCCTTTTCTAAGTTTTCTCCCTTTTTTTTTTCTTTTTTTTCAATTCCTTCTTTATATTCCCTTTCTTTTTCTCCTTAAAAAAGGGCATTATTGAATTGACCAGCCCCGATGCAATTCCAAATTATCTTATTCTGTTCTCACTTGATTGGATCTGGATTCGAACTTGGGTCTGTCTTTCAACAGTCCATGGGTGTACCAACTGAGCTAGGCCCATTGGTTGCATTATTACTTCACCCTCCATTACACTCAAATTCTTGTATGCCAACACTACCGGTTTCACACGGTCATTGTCGCTGCATCTAGACCGGAAGTTGTCCCAAATACAGGTATAATGAACGCGCGCTCTCTTCGGGTGAAGACAGCAGGGCTAACCATTCATTGTGCACAGCCCTCCGGTTGAAACAGGAGCAGCATGGTAAAACCACCGCTCCCTTTTCAAAACCACATGGGGGTGGGGGGTGGGGGGGCTGTCTCTTATACACATAGATGCCATCCAGAAAACCAACTGGCAAGTCGCAAAAACAGGGTGGTTGCTTAAACTTTAAACCAACGCAAGGGACTGGGCCATCAACTCACCGCCAGTCATCGATTCTCGCTTTCTCAATTCCTGCACACAGTTACCCAATGGTCGAAGACACAACACAGAACAAAAAATTAGCGAAGCAGGTGAGGGGAGGGAACAACAAAAATGAGAACCACACCAAAAAAAAAAAAAAAAAAAAAAAAAAGAGAGAACCACACCTGACCATGCAGATTTTAAGTTTTTTATTACTGAGAGGTCCGCATCGAGTAGTGGCGGAATCCGGCCCACTAAACAAAATTCATCCTCATTTTTCCATCTCCATGAAAACAGTAGAATGGAAACCAGTAGACTAAGCCTTCAAAATATAATGGCCAAGCCAAAACCAGTACCACTGCACAATTGCAAAAGACTGTTGGCGTGAGAAATCAACCAATCTTTTTTTGGCTGGCACCGCCAGCTCTGTTGTTTTGGTAGGCCAAGCCACGTTATCATCGGCGTCGGGACAAAATACCTGGAAAATGCAGCAGAGGTTTAAAGGGTAAAAAGAACTAGATAGCGGAAGACAAGTGAGTAGCAGGCTGAAGTTGACAGCCGCAAAAAATTGAGATTGGGAGAAACCCTGAACTTATAAGAGTACAAAACTTACAGCATTCAGAACACTGGTATCGGAAGGTCTAATCAAAGTCAGAGCTTCAGCTTCACAGTTTGGAAACAACCTTCTATTGTTGGAGGAGGTTCACCACACACACTCTCCACATCACCATCACTACGACAATCATCATCATAGATGTTCCTCTCCTCTTCCTCCTCGTGCCATCACCCCACCACCTCTCTTCCCCTCATTCTTTCTGAGCGTGTCCCTGGGCAATGGTCGAGTTTGCCTGACGTTCACAGCATGCCCCTCCATATCATATCCTTGACCAGCCCCCTCCTCACCCTCGTTCTCAACAGCAGAAGCAGCACGCATAGGCCTGACAAGACCCACGTGTTGGGAGCAGGAAGGTGGCAGGGGGGTGGGGGGTGGGGGGGGGGTGGAAGCATCAAAATCACAGAAACAGCGGGGAAGGTGAAGGGAAAAGAACCTGAGTTGGGGAAGGGGGAAGGGGAGAAAGTGGGTGGGGGGAAAAAGATCAGTAGAGCAGCAAGAGGGGAGAAGTGAAAAGGGCATGGCGAGAGCTGTGCTTGCCCTCCTTAGCAAAACGTCTGGACATTCTAACGCCTAGACAATACATTCAGAGAAAGAAGGTAATGCAGGCATGCACTGATCCTATCAGGCATGCATCCTTTTGTTTGTCAATCTTTGGTAAAAATTTGGACCATTTCTCAACTTATGTGTGTCGCCTGGGCGATACATTCAGAGAAGAAGGTAGTGCAGGCATGCATCCTTCTTGTTTTTAATTACAACAAGAAAGAGCTCTCCATCTGTCAATCCTTGCTAAAATTTTGGACGATTTTTCGATTTCTGTGTGTCATCCTTGTGCAGGGGCCATGCTAATCTTCTCTGTATCGTTCCAATTTTAATGGACGCCGCGAAGGATCTACCAGGCGTGCACCCTATACTGAAATATCGATCAAATTGAGTGAATGGCACTGAATCCACATGGCAGCTACTTTCTGGTCAACGAATTTTCAAAAGTGTCGAGCAGCACATGGTATTGCAGAATTTTGTCTTGACAAAAAAAAAGAAAATTAGTTTTTTAAGAAACAAAAGGAAAAGATAAAGTGTGAGGGTTTATGCGCCCTGCAGCAGGTGCATGCCCACCCTAAGCGAAGGCGGGCCCCCTGAACTTGTCAATTTTTGCAAATCTCGGTCGGCGTCAGACAGTTGCCACGTGCCAGTTAGTTACACCCACCTGGATCGTGAGAGTCCAAAATACTCGTGAGCCTTCCAGGCTCTTCCGGCAACATGGTCGAAGCAGGGAGCACCACACGTTTGTGCCTGGGTGGTTGGGCATGCCTAACCAATTCGGTCCTAGGCCACTATCTGAACGGGCCTGGGCGCAGACACTTTGGCCGAGACTGAAGCTACTGGAAACTCGGTCTCACGTGGGAGGCAAGGCAAAGCGCCCGCCACTTTCCATATAGAAAGGGCAGGGCGCCGGGCTGGAAATTCGGCACTTGCAAGCATACGTGGCAGCGCTGCTGGAGCTAGCGCTCGCGGGGCTGCTGCTGCGCTGGTGTGTGGGCGAGTGTGTGGGCGAGTGTGTGGGCGAGTGTGCGCGCGCGTGCGGTCGTGCGAGAAGGCAGGGCGCTGCTGAGGGCAGCGCCATAGCCAGCCCCACGTAGCCGGGGCTCAGCTTCGACATAGCCAGTGGAGGTGGTAGTGGTCTTCGTGTGTGGGATATAAGACGTGGGTGAAGTCGAGGGACAGAGAGAGAGAGAGAGATGAGGTTGATGATGTGAGAGCACGTACTTGGTCTTGGTGATGGTCTACAAGGTCGACATCTTCATGCACTTCGGCTGTTGCTGCTGACGTCAACGGAATGCACTGTCAATTCGTTGGCTGCTAGTAGCTGTGTAGTAGTCTGGGCGCTGAGCGCCAAGTCAGAGGATGGGCTCTGGATACATGTGTTGGCGATGGCAAGAATATGCTCTCATTCACGTTCGGATTCGGTGTTTTGGTTCTCCGTTGGTGAATATCGGTGCACTTCTGCTTTCTGGACAGCGTTGCACTTTCTGGCTTTCAATGTGAATTTGCATTCTGGATTTTCTGTCATTTTGCTACCGGTAATTTTCCTTGCAAAAGGCTCTTCATCAGCTTTTCAGAATACCTGTTCTTTCTTCTTCAGTTCTTCCTCCTTCGCCTTAAGTTCCCTCTCCTTCTTCTTTATGTCCTGAAGCAGCAAACAAAACAAGCAAAGCACAGAAGATCCGTTCAGCAAACACACGAGTCCACATTATTTCCAATTAACGGTAATATAAACCACAACAGACCGTAACTACGCAATGGAAGCAGCAGATTAACCATGCATGCAGACCACACCTCTGTAAACCGCCCCCTACCGATCTGCATCCGCCCTGGTTATACATATCGCCATAGACAACTGCTCAGTCAGCCGTGGGCAGAAAGGGAGAAATGGACAAGAAACGAGCGGCTGTGAGAGACTTTTTCGCCGCAGTTTCACCAAACTGATGATACTGTAACTGGTAATCCATCTTAACCCCAGTTGCAGAGTCCCTAACAGATGATACCGTAAGTGGTAATCCACCTTCACCCCAGTTTCAGTTAAGCATCAATGACTGGCCCACAACTGATAACCCGAGGTGGGCACCAACCACCGCCCTCAAGTACCCCATGGCGAACATCAAAGCAGACTATCACTCACCCGCACCAAACAGAAAGCATATGTATAGCACAAGGCCTGCAACTGTCCAGCTTGTCCGTTGGATTTACAATCAAATGGCTGATGGTCTTTTATTTCCACTTTCTTGAGAGGCCCCAAGTTTTGCACGACGTGGCTGTAGTTAAACCACTCAAATGTCAATCATGCAAAACCCGTAATCAACTACTCTTCACCAACTGGGGTCACGAAGCATCCAAGGCAAAACTTTGATCCAGCAGGTTAAATTTTTAGGGGCTGATAAAAAATAAAAATAAAAATAAAAATTGCTGCAAAATGCTGCTAATGGAGGTATTCCTCCCAATGAAAACATATCATAAAACGAATTCGAGAGTCGGCATTGATGGCCAATCAATTGCACAATTGCCCCCAAACACTCTTCTGAAGACAGGCTGGACACATGTTCACCCCGCTACACCCTGGATTGTCCGTAGTGCCCTTACCGACATACACCCAAACTAGAGAATCCAAGCCCAGCACAAAATTACATCGGCCACAGTATGGGAATTTGGGGCCCCAACCGATAGGTGGAGGCCGCATGGTCTAGGCCCGGATTATTGCATGGGAAGTCCAGACTCAGTAACACAAAAACGACGGCCCGTGAAATTGCAAACATCTACAGCCCAGATCAAGCTGTAGTTTTGTTCATTACCACCTGGCCCATCAGCGCAAGTTCCCCTGGCAGGCATTGCCACCTGCCCGCGTCACCCCGGGCAATTCCAACTTTTTTCTTTTGGGGTTTTACCAGTGGAGCATTTCCACGCCGCCATGCAGGTTCAAGGCCAATGTGAATTTCCACAGGCAGTGCACCAAAACCACACCTGCGCATGCTACTGTGCAATGTTCACCAGCCAATCAATTGCACAATTGCCCCCAAACACTCTTCTGAAGACAGGCTGTTGCCTACTTCAGAATCTCAAAGATCCTCCAGTGACACATGTTCACCTCCAGATGTCCGCTACACCCTGGATTGTCCGTAGTGCCCTTACCGACATACAGCCAAACTAGAGAATCCAAGCCCAGCACAAAATTACATCGGCCAATGGGCGTTCAATTTGCCCTAAAGAGGGATAAATTCTGAGACAATGTCAAATTTACCCTGGAAGACCCGCCAAGAGGAATCTCATCCGTGGCCGAATCCGATAATGCCGGTACTTTCCCCGCGGTCGGTGCCACGCCAACAACTCTCGACTGCGCCACACCAAACAGTCAAAGACAGACACGCGCTTGTCATCATCATCATCACTGCCATCATCACCATCGTCAATAACAACAACAACAGCAACCGCAGAAGAATCACTAAGACAAGGCAAAATGGAGAGAGGAAACGAGAAAGAAAAATCACGGTGGACGTGTACCCAGGTCTCATGCACACACACACGTATACTAACACGTGCTCGAACGTGGGTATAATTTTTTTGAGATGACTTCCAGACAAACGCTTATGCAAGTTTTTCAAATGGTTATGTAGGACTACGTACGCACATCCACACAGTAACACATACGCACCACCCAGGTTTCAGTCTTCAAAAGATCAAGACTAAAATTTACGCGCCACCCAGGTTTCAGTCTTCAAAAGGGGCGTATATCCAGAAATATCTATATATCCTAATCATAAATCAACCTTATGATTGTCCACATGCCAAACACAATCTCATGCTTCACAATATGAATACAAGACAGTAGTTGAGACAACAAGAGCTCACAAAAATACATATGCCTCAGGTATACAAACATAAAAAAGTAGATATACCGACGACTCAGGAATACAAACTCAAGAGAAGAGACCGACAGGCCCAGCTCAGTTGGTACACAGTTGAAATACAGACCTGAGTTCAAATCCAAATGACCTTAGCCGGGTGAAAAACTCTGAAGTTACCTAGGGCTGGTCAGTTTGCGCTTCGACGACGATATCTCAAGGCTATCATCCTTTAAAAAAAAGGAAAAAGGAAAAAAAAAAGAAGAGGACGAAAAGACATTCAAGAGTGGAAAAAAGAAGAGGACGAAAAGGCATTCAAGAGTGGACAAAGACCAGCAGATCCCAAACCTCATTGCTAACAACAGCAGCATTGCAATCCAGGGGGAAAATAGAGTAAAAAGAGACACGGAGGTATATTATTATAAGGTTTAATGAACAAAAGGTAGGATCGGTTATGAAGGCATACTGAGGTATACTGCATCCCTGAGGCCACCACCAGGGCGAGCAAAAAAGGGAGACCATGGGGACACAGCAAATTGTAAACACACAAAACAAAGAAAGAACAATCTTTATAAAAAGGGGGGGAGAAGGGGGGGGAAGGGGGGAGGAAGAAGTGGCCGTACCTGGTACCCTGGGGTATCATAAAAAGATCCCGTTCCATACGATGGCGCCGACCCCGCCCCATAGGTTGGGGCCGACGCTGCTCCACCACCACCAGTATGAGCAGTCACCGCTGGATCCTGGAAAGATCAAGACGAAGAATCATCCTCACGTGTAAAGAAGATGGGCATATCCATCCTTCCTTTGGGAAGTAATCAATGTCGTCCTTTGGGCCTTCACATGTGAGTGCTTACTGTAATCCTTTCTTCACTTGCCGGTGTAATAGGAACCGAACTGATGCTCCCCAGAATGGAAAAGGACCAAAAACCCTAAGGTTCTGTTTTATAAATTAAGAAGAAAAAAAAAAAGAAAAGAGATGGACATTTACAAAGAGAAAACCTGCAGTGTGCATGGAACAACAAAAGAAAAGGGGAACTTACCTACATAGCTCCCATTTGTGTTGCAATGGTCAGAATGGGCGTGTCAGAATCCACCTGGACATATAGCAAGGCAGGTGCATTCAGGAGGGCCTTGAAGATATTACTTACATATACGATACGATATATACATACATATATATTGTCAAACAGAGCTGCCCGTTAAATCGTAGGCAGAGAGGGAGAAGAGGACAAGTACCCTTACGGCTCGATACAGTGGCGCGCCAGAAAGGTACCCTTACCCTGTGTACACAGGCGCGTGCGGGAACAGTACATGCCTGCTCAGTCATGAATATACGCAGGCTATCTTCCCGGCTCGATACAGTCGTGATTTCTCGTGTTGCAAATGACCAAAAACATGCTCCGACGAAACAGCTTGTCACAGCCCCTCGTTTGTTGTCCTCTTCTCCCTCTTGTCCCTCTCTGCCTACGGTTTACCGTAGGGAGCTATTATCAACAAACTCAGTCTTCCACCGAACACAGCTCACCTTCGCCACGAATGAATACAAGCTACCTCTCCAGCCCGATACAGTCATGATAGGGCTGCATTGTGCTCGGGGGAAGACAGACAAGTAGCCCAATGCTCACACTGAGTCGCCTGCCAGTGCACCCTCAACCACGGAGCATTGTTCGCAGTGTCACCTACTCATCTCTCTCTCTCTCTCTCTCTCTCGCTTGATATCTAGTCACAAAGAGCTTTGACACTGTTTCGTCCGAGTTTACCTTCTCTCTCTCTCTCTCTCTCTCTCTCTCTCTCTCTCTCTCTCTCTCTCTCTCTCTCTCTCTCTTTTCAAGTGCAAATTCTGCACTTCCCTCCCCCTCTACCTGTGCGTGCCCGCGTGGACGAGCTTATGTATGAATAGAAGAATGACCAGAAAAGAAAAACGTTCGACATGTTGCCATGTGGAAGGCCCTCACACCCCCTAAACCACCATGATTTGTTTATACATAAAACACCACGATTATATCTACGTATATCGTAAACAGCCTCCTGATGAGCCGGTGATACTCCGGTGAAACTAACTGTCACAGCCCCTCGTTTGTTGTCCTCCTCTTCTCCCTCTCTCCCTACGATTCACTGGCCACTTCTCTGTGACTACATATACACATATATCGTCACACTGTGAATAGGAGCGCAAAGACGAAAAAAGACAAAACCAAAAAAGGAAAGAAAGAAAGCCCCCCACCTGTTCATCACCTCTCACGTACAAGGCCAGCCACGTGGATGACAGGTTGAGCGCTGGCTGCCCCCATCCCCGTGTGTCACAAGGACCCACTTGCACGCAGCCAAATGGCAAAGAGAGAAACAAAAAGGAGGAGGAAACCAAGCCTGACAGGGAAAGAAAGCCTATCAGTCAAACAAAGCAAATGACACATCCCAAAGATAATCCAATTGCCACAAAGCAAATAACACATCCCACAGATCAACAAATTTGGTTGTTGTTTTTTTTTTGTTTTTTTTTAAACTCCGTATCTGTCGGTAGTGTCGAAGGCTTTATGTCCCCAACTCGGCAGATAAGACAGCTACGGTGAGGATGATGTGGATGTTCACAAGGATACCCAAGGAGAGCTGCGCCAGCACAGCATTCAGCAGGACGGCTAGCACGAACCATCCCCCTCCCCCTCCTTGTCCATCTTCCTCTCTCCTCCCTCCCCCCTCTTCTCCGCTTCCACCACCTATCTGTCGGTAGTGYCGAAGGCTTTATGTCCCCAACTCGGCAGATAGGACAGCTACGGTGAGGATGATGTGGATGTTCACAAGGATACCCAAGGAGAGCTGCGCCAGCACAGCATTCAGCAGGACGGCTAGCACGAACCATCCCCCTCCCCCTCCTTGTCCATCTTCCTCTCTCCTCCCTCCCCCCTCTTCTCCGCTTCCACCACCTTCTCACCCTCCTTCCCCTTCCTCTCCCTCTCCCTCTCCTTCTCCTACCTCTTTGCCTGCATCCTCTTCTCCTTTGTCATCTCCTCCTCCTCCTCCTCCTCCTCCTCCTCCTCCTCCTCCTCTTCTTCTTCTTCCTCTTCCTCTTCTTCTTCTTCTTCTTCCTCTTCCTCTTCTTCTTCTACGTTCCCTTCTTCTTCTTCTTCTTCTTCCCCACGCCGGCTGAGACCGCCCCCTTCCTTATCTTCGTTGTCCATATTGGGACGTCGGCAGTCTCGTTCATTCTCTCCTCCCAGTCCCCCTTCCCTTTCGACGTCGTGTTGATGCTAATCAGCTAATCAGCCGGGTTCTTTGTCTTACCTACATCCTGCTCTGCCACGTCGACGGCGTTCGTCATTTACGCTCCGACACCGCCAGATCAGACCGATCTGATCTACGGCTTTCCAGCGGTGACCGATTCGAATCTGCGGCCAGACCCCTACCAGAAAATGCTTGTGGCTTGACAGCTACAAATGTCTGGCTACCTCAACGGCTTGTCAGCGTCAATGTTATACTGCTGCATCGCATTTTTGTCACGAGTGCTTACTCAGCTTGACGCTGTTGAAAATCAGCATTGTTGTATGACCATAATACTCCACCTCCTGAAGGTACGGAGTAACTATACCTCAGGAGGCTTTACTGTAAAAAATGCCTTCCAGTTAGCGTTCAACGGCCGCCACCTTCATCTCATGCATAGCATGCAACGCCAGGCGATGGATGGCCTTCATGACCATCCTCCTCATATTTCTGCCTGTATCGTATATATCCAAAAAAAAACTGCCAGCGGGATCGACCCACAGGAAATTCCATGGCAATCGGATGTTTTCGACCATAATCAATTCCAAAAAAATCAATTCCAAAATAATCAATTCCAAAATAATCAATTCCAATCATTTTTTTTAATCTTTTTGGAAAACACGCGCCCGTCAAACAAGGAACTGAAAGAGAACAAAACTCTGACAGTGGCCATTCTAGATATATACATATATATAGCCCCTCCTTTGTCGTCCTCTTCTCCCTCCCTCTCTGCCTACGGTTTACCGGGAAGCTCTGTTTGACAATATATATTGTCACATGAATATCAGAGCGGCAAAGCGAAAAACAGAAAGAAAACAAGAAATATATATATAGGGTTCAGCCTCCTGATGAGTCGGTGAAACCCGTACGAAACAGTCTGTCACAGCCCCTCGTTTGTTGTGCTCTCCTCCCTCTCTGTCTACGGTTTACCAGGCAGCGGTGAAACCCGTACGAAACAGTCTGTCACAGCCCCTCGTTTGTTGTGCTCTCCTCCCTCTCTGTCTACGGTTTACCAGGCAGCGTGAAATTTTAACACCTATGGTCTGAGATATATGTATATTTTGTGACAAAATTATCAGAGCGCAAAAGCGAAAAGAAAACAGAAAGAAACCAAAGAAAAATAAATTCATCTTTTTATCTTCTTCCTTGCAATTTATATATCATCACATAAATAGAGTCTGGACAAAGAAGAAAGAAAAATCAGAATGCGTGAATTCGTTCTATTTGGCATTTTACTATTCAGTGTGCTAAGTTCAAAACAAATTTTACTTACTCCCGCCAATCTTCCACCAATCTCTATTGGATGGAGAGAAGTTCTGATTTCTCTATAGATTAGATATAGATAAGATAAGGCGACCGACATACGGCACGCCCTGAATGACGAGCGTGCCGCCTTAGGCTCTATATGTACCTCCCGTGCGCATCTCTATCTCCAGCAAGCATTCTCACAAATGCACCGAGCTCTGACTTGTGACTTGTCCTCCTCGACGAGTGTGCTCTTACGTTTGTTCATGCGCTTAAACCGATCAGTAACGTGCCCGTTCACAAATCTATTTCCCGCCATCTAAGTCTCTAACTCCCGCGCATTTTACCTCAGCCGATCAGCCACTTGCCCGTTCAGAAATCTATTTCCCGCCATCTAAGTTTGTAACTCCCGGTAATTAACCCACCAAACCCTACGCAGGAGGTGGATGGGTCGATGCCACACTATGACGTGTAATCCTGCGAGTACTCTTCCGCGAGAGGCAGATGGGTTGATGGATTAACTAACGTAGTCAGCTTCCTCCCGCGCAAATGCGCCAAATTTCACGCGCCCAAATCAAAACTAGCCATTCTGACGTGTACACGAGGTGGGCGTGTGCACACCCGCTATGTTCCATGCAAGTACTCTTACGCGGGAAGTAGATGGCCAAATTTCACGCGCCAAAATTAAAACTGCCCTCTTCACCCGAATAGAACGACCGGTCATTATCGCCAAATGACGGTAGATGGCCAAATTTCACGCGCCAAAAAAAAAACTACCGTCTTCACCCGAATAGAACGCCCGCTCATTATCGCCGCATCTGGACCGAAAAGTGTGCCAAATACAGCTATAATGACTGGGCGTTCTATTCCGGTGAAGACGGTAGCCATTGTGACGTGTATACGAGGTGGCTGGGTGGGTGCACACCTGCAATCCTACTGTTCTCTGAATTTACCGTGAAAATTCGTCACTACGTATTCAACCACTCGATATCGAAATCGAGATAAGTGCTTGTGCGCGACAACTACGCAGACAATCAATCAATAACCTCAAGCAATCAAATGTTAGACAAAAACTAGACCATCAATCAATTGCTGTTATTAATCAGAATACAATCAATTACAGCAACTAATCGAGGACGAAGTGCTCAACGTGAGGGCGCACTCTGTTCTCAATTGCGGCAAACTAATTCCTAATCATCCAATCAATCAATCAATCAACCAACCAATTACCAATCAACCAATTATCAATCAACCAATTATCAATCAACCAATTATCAATCAACCAATTATCAATCAACCAATTACCAATCAATCAACCAACTATCAATCAACTAATCAATCAACCAATCAATCAACCAATTACCAATCAACCAATTACCAATCAACCAATTACCAATCAATCAACCGATTATCAATCAACTAACTACCATTCAATGGGGGTATACGGGCGTTTCAGACAATCACTTACAGCAACTAATCGTTCCTAATCGTTCAATCAATTAGCCAATTACCAATTAACCAATTATCAATCAACCAACTATCAATCAGCTACCATTCAATGAGCGCAGTCTGTTCTCTGTCGTAACAGCCACGAAACTCGTTCCTAATCGTTCAATCAATCAACCAATTATCAATCAACCAGCTATCAATCAAACAATTATCAATCAAGCAAGTATCAATCAAGCAAGTATCAATCAACCAACTATCAAAAAACTAATTACCATTCAATGGGGGTATACGCACGTGGCGGCGAAACCCCAAGCAGTCGATCGATCAGGAGCACGACAAAGACAACCGTATTCCCCCCCCCCCACCCTACAGAATGCAGAGGCCCTTTCGCTCCGCACCTGCTCTCACACTCCAGAAATTTCCTTCGCTACAGCGAATAAGGACAAACCTACCTACCGTCTTCCCACGAACACAACGCACCCTCATCATCACTGGATAGGCCCGGAAAAGTAGCTTGTATACATTCATGATGAGGGCGCGTTGCGTCGGGGGGCAAGCCTGTAGTACACGCCTACCGTGCAAGCCATCGGGCCTATCTCCACTACTCTCCGAATGTGCACAATTAAGACTGAATCTGGCGCTTGAACACAGAAAGATACACCGCCATATTTTTTTGTCTTTCGTGCATGTGGAGACGAGCGGAGCGAGGCCTAATCTTCAATCCCCCGAATACAACGCGGGTTCTTCAGAGGTAGGTAGGAGTCGCATCCGTCTTCCCCCGAACACAACGCACCCTGATTATTATGTATTATTATGAATTTTATAGAAGCTAGCTTTCCGGTCTGATACAGACAAAATTAGGGTGCGTTGTGTTCAGGGGAAGAAGGTGATATTCCATTTCGGGAAAGCGTTCTATTCGGCCCACGGCGATAGGCATTCGATTTAGGCGAAGACGGGAGGGGCAAATTTGCAATTTGCAGGTATAATTCGGGGAGAAAAGAGGGGAGCTAGCTGGGTGTCATTTCTTTGATCAACGAACCGCTACCCGTCTTCCCCCGAACATAACATACCCAGAAAATCAATGTATATAACCTATCTTTCCGGTGCGGTGCAGCCAAAAAAGAGGGTGCGTTGTGTTCGGGAGAAGATGGGTAGGATCCGCTTCGTCGCTCCACCAGCACAAGATACATTGCGGGCAGGACTATCAGTAATTCATTTACACATTAGCATTATAGAAATAGAAATTTTTTGTAAAAAAAAATAAATACTCGATATTGTCAAGCAAGAACGACGAATGTAGCACAAAGTCTTGAGGTGGTAGGGGGTCAGACAAGGAGAGAGAGAGAGAGAGAGAGAGAGAGAAAGAGAGAGAAAGAGAGAGAAAGAGAGAGAAAGAGGGACAGAGGGAGAGAGATTAACAGAGAAAGAAGAGGAGGAGGGAGGACGGACAGTGGGGAGGAGGAGGAACGGGCGAGGATAGAGACAGTATAAGACAAAATGCGAGAAAAAAGACAAAAGGCGGGAAATGCCAAAGAACAAAGAGTGAGATAAACCCAAAAAAAGGCGGGAAATGCCAAAGAACAAAGAGTGAGAAAAAGAGAAAGAAAAGGCGGGAAATGCCAAAGAACAAAGAGTGAGATAAATCAAAAAAAAGGCGGGAAATGTGGAAGACGACAAGATAACATAGAGTAAAAAGGGCGGGAAAGGAAATTACTTACATCGAAAGGATTCGATCCGTCGTCGAAAGGGTTGCTATCGAACCGACTTGCCATGGCTATATCCTTGGTCAGGATCCCCGCGCAGAACCTCTGCGCCGCCGACTGCCGCTCCAGGGACCGATCGGCAAAATCAATCAATCAATCAATCAATCAACCAATCAACCAATCTGTAATCCCCTCAGACGTTCTTCGCGCCACTTCCTCCTACAGATATCCTATCCTCATCTGCCCTATCTTCCCTCCGTCTCTTGACTCTCCTCCTCGACACACCACCGCAGTTCCGCAAAATCGAACCACCACCTCTCTCTCTCTCTCCTCTCCTCCTCTACACACCACCGCAGTTCCGCAAAATCGAACCACCCCCTCTCTCTCTCTCTCTCTCTCTCTCTCTCTCTCTCTCTCTCTCTCTCTCTCTCTCTCTCTCTCTCTCTCTCACACACACACACACACAAACACACACACACACACATACACACACACACACACACGCACACACACACAAACACAGGTGCGCGTGCAGGTGCGCGCTCGTCTCTCTCTGCACAAAGAATACTGGATTGAGAGAAGAATATAGCGCGTAGTTTAAGAGGGAAGGAGGAGGTGGAAAAGGGGGGGGGAGTAAACAAATCCCGAATCAAGAACAGACCAAGACAGGTGCGCCACGTGTCAGCTTTGCGTGGTTCGTCGCCACGTGTCAGCCGCTCAACGTTAAGATCAGTAACTGTTCAAACAATCCAGAGGTCGTGATGTCCATTCCACTTCCTGTGAGGCCGTCATATCCATCGAGAATCTCAAGCTGTAGAAATTCCGGAGACTACCTAGGCGGGAAAGTCACTCGAAGTGGGGGAGCAGTGGGGGTAGGCGTGACCACACTCGCCAAGGGGGGGGCGGGGCACGGTAGGGTAGGGAGGACAGGAAGGAGGAGAAATTAGGGTAAGAAAGACAAATCGAGAAAGGAGTACAAGGGGGACAGGAAATGAATCGGCCCCGAAAAAGAAAAAAGAAAAAAAAAATAAAAATGAATCGGTCAGCTTCGGATACAGAATCGGAGTAAGAGGGACTGACGACCTACGATACGAACATTCCCCCCTCCTTCCCCCACCACACCTGCCACCTGCCGCCTACCACAAAATGCACCTCCCACTACTTTCATTACCAGAAGTAACGTGGTTAACCTGATCTAGCTGGGAAAAGGCGCCCCCGCAGCGGCCGGGGGCAAGGTCCCACTTGCGCAAAATAGGAGATTTCGGCCGTTGATCATTTTTATATCTACGGTCAGTATATCTCTTAATTCGTGCAAGTGGGACCTACGGTAGCGGCCGGGGCATCCACAGCCTCTGCCAGTGCGCGCCTCGGTGCTCACCCGAGTAAGGAAGGACCTCGCTCGACTAATCATCAAATGTGCAAAATGAGAATGAATCTCACGATAGAACATGGAAAGATGCAACCCCCATGTGTTTTGTCTTTTGAGCCCAAAGCAAGCACTCTACTGTAGGGAGGGATTGTGCACAGTGGGCGGGACGGCAGAGTAAGGCCAAAAACCGAAAAACACGAAAATGCCAGTAACGTGGCGGCGGTTTCCTGTCTGTGGGTCTGTGGGTTCGGTCCCCAAAGGTCCCAAGGGTCCAGCGTCGGGTAGAAACCCTCAGCTGCAGTACCGCGCAGGAAAAGTGCGACTCTCTCAGCTGCAGTACCCCACAGGCCAAGTACCCCAAAAAACGTGCGTACGTTCTATTCAACTTAGGGCCTCGTTAGACCCTCCTTGGAAATCCGATTTTTAGGAAATCCGCGTGGTTACACCCCCTCCTAATTGTCTACCGCGTGGGCGCGGGGAACGCAGCCCTGAGGTAGCCAAATCAATGAGACTAAGAGCTCGCACAAGCAAGAGAGAGAGAGAGAGAGAGAGAGAGAGAGAGAGAGAGAGTTTTGTTCCGTTTATTATTATGAGTGTGAGAGAGAGACAGGGAGTGAGAGAGAAAGAAAGAGAGAGAGAGAGAGGGAG